CCCTCTTCTCAGCAACATTGAACTCTGGCCTATAGCATCATAAGACCTGTCGCCAAGGGTGGGACAGCCCCTCTACCCCTAAGCCTCTGACTGTCTTGCTTCAAAGCTACTACAAACTGAGGGCAAATTGCAATCTCTTGTTTGTTTTGTTGTCAGGGATCTTCATGGGTCTCTTCTGTTTCCCCCTCCCACCACCTTGCCTTCGAGCACTGCCAGCCATCCTCTCCCCAATCTGCCCCATATTTCCAACTGCTAGACACAACAGCTTCTGTCCTTGCCTTTCCCAAGTGGGGTCAAAGGCTAACCCTTCCCATCTGGAGCCTTGGGGTTCATTGCCCGGACTTAGTAGAAAGGACATGAAAGGTTCTTTTAAGCCAACTGCCGCATACACATTTCTCTTGTTTCCTGTGTGACATGACCAAAAATTAAAAAAAAAAACCAAATATTTAAGTTTATTATTAATGTTATTATTATAATAATTATTATTTGACAATCTTATATCCAGTGGGCTTTTTAGAAGCTGCATCCCTGGCCCTTTCAACATTTTCTTTGAATGTAGTTCTCAACTTGTAATCCCCACCCCCCAAAGTTGGGGGGAAAAATAAAAAGCTTAACCAGGTCAGGTCATTACACTGCTGCTATAAGCCAGGGGATGGGTGGTTTCTTTGTTTCGTTTTGTTTTTCCATTTCCAGCCAAAACCAAAGATTTCTTAATGATTGTATAAACTCAAAACAAACAAAAAAACCAAAGAAAAGGGAAATCTTCAGCCTCAATCCAGTCTGTGGCGTCCTGGCATTTAGAGACATGATCAAGGGCAAATGGGGACACCCTGACCAGCTCAAAGGGGCAAGCAAGCCTTTTTCCAAATTCAGGTGCCTACTCAGTAGTTCTGGCTCTTACTTGTGAGAACTTGTGAAAGCAACATGCATACAAAACTTGGCACATGAGATTTGCCAAAACCAAAACCGCATCACCACCATAACTCAACTAATAGCAACCAGGGTCATCATCAGAGCTTAGCACAGGGCCTTAGAGCTGGGAGCTGCTTCAGGATGGCCAAGGACTCCACAGAGTGGGGATGCTGAAGACACTGGCACAGGATTGGCTGCTCTGCTGGGTGCTTTCACCTCTGGGGCTGGGTTTACACCCGAGGGGTCCTTCTGAGCCTTCTTTCTCTTTTCTGTACTGGAACTGCTTGGAAGTGGCTGTCCCATTGTGAGGAAACTACAGAGCGATTCTCAGACTTTCCTTTCCTTGTTTGTAGTTTTGTTTCCTTTCGCAGCACCACTGTGCAACTATGCATTGTATTTCATAACCTTTGTGCTAGGTAGATGCCTGTGACTTTTTAACTTGGGGTGGGTGGGGAGGGGGGTTGCAAATGAAGGAGATTTTTACATGGATCTTTTTAATCTCAGTTGATTGGGGGAGGGGGGTATTTGGTTCTAGGGTCATACAAGCTCTATCCCAAAGCAAAATCCAAATGTTAATATTAGCCTGATGCAGATACCAAAGACAATTTCTTTCCTGCAGAACCTTAGACTTGTGTATTAAGTACGATTACCCAGCACTTGCATTAGTCTAACCTCAAGAATTCCAAAGCTTAGATGTATATTTTGGTATATTTCCAGGATATTAAAAGAAAAATGTCGTTTACCTTCTTGTTTGTTTCAGTGTAATGCTCTTAAAGTCATAGCATGAAATACTTGCGCTGTCCTATTCTTGGTAGTTTGAAATAATAGTATTTTTGTATGTTTTGGGTGTGTCTGTATGTATTAACAGTTTTCACTGCCTAGGTGTTTGTAATAAAAGTGAAAGGTTCTGAGTGTACATACTATTCAGTAATAATCTCCACGATATCCACTCAAGTGTGGAGTCACTGATAACGCCCAGCTGGGGTCTGGTTTTAAAGAGACAGTGATTGTGTTTTTCTAAAAATGTTTATTTCTGTCTTTAAATATCTTTTTCTAAAAATGTTTATTTCTGTCTTTAAATATCTTTTTCTAAAAATGTTTATTTCTGTCTTTAAATATCTTTTTCTAAAAATGTTTATTTCTTGTCTTTAAATACCTTAACTTCCCCATCCCCCCCCCCTTTTTTTAATTAATATTAATTCAGGGGTGTTTTTCCACTGTTGTCAAGGGAGGAACACAAGGGGAATTGGCACCTTGAACTCCCAAAATATATTTTTTTGTGTACTTTAAAATGTGACTGAGTTCTTTGTGGAAACTTAGAATATGATGTACATGATTCTTTCCAGAATTGTCCAGCAGCTGTAATGAGGCAGTGGCAATTCCTGAGTAGTTGATTGGATGTCCTCTCACATTTCTCCTTAAGGTGACTGCAGTGTGGGTGGTTATTGTGTTGCCTCTCTGCCCCAGAGCATCTGTAGCCATTTCTCCTGGTAACTTGGGGCACTGGTCCTTGTTATCTGTGCCCCCTGGGAAACCTGAAACACAAGCAATTCTCCTTGTTGGGGATTAGCTGATCCCTCCAGGGGCCTGGGGAAGTGGTAGGGGACTGAGCGGTGCTGTCTCTTTAAAAATGCCCTTTATGTCATTCCCCCTTCTGGGGCTGCCAGAGGGGTCATGGGCTTTGGGAGAGACTGTGTGGGTGCCAGTGAATCAGAATGAAATGGTGGGTTTGTGTAGATGCATTTGTCTGCTGTAATTTTTTTATATATATTAAACTTACTGTAACTGTACAGTTCCAGTTTCTGTTGTAAAACATTAAACCATTTTCCAAGTGTTTTCACATTGTCTGTGTCTTTTTGAGGTTGCTGCCTTGGAATTCTGGCTGCTTTACACAGGCATTTGCACAGATATTCACGTGGACCTTCCAAATTATTTCTCCCCACAGGTCTTCCTGGGAACCTCAGAATCTAAGCACCTTAGTCTCACACTTAACCTTCTGGCTTCCTTAGTTGAGCTGTAGTTACTGTGTTTCCTTTCCCCAGACCCTCAGTGTGGTGAGTGGAACCCTGCCTGTGTTGAGTAGCAGTAGCTTCCTTCAAACCAGACTGTTCTGTGTGATCAAACACACTGGCCCTTGATTGATCCTTCAAGGGAACTCCTCAAAGCTCCTCTCACTGTGTGTATGACTGCTGACTGGGTTGAACTTAACTCTTTTGGGCTCCATCTTTTGACTGACAGGCCCAGGTACCTGTAGCATTTCTTACTATGCCCTGATCCAGGGCTGGTGGGAGAGAACCCTCTGAAGGAGGAGGCACATCCTGAACTTGCCTTGGTGCTGCTGTGCACATGTTAAGCACCTCAGCCTTCCAGACAGTTTAACATCTGGTACACTTCATAGAGCTCACTGATTTCACAAGGAAAGAGGAATACCCTAGAACTTCCCAGAGAGAGAGAAGACTTGAGCTTCAGGAAGTGTGCCTGATGGGCCTATCTTGTCAAGAGCCCTTCTCAAAATGACAAAGTGCCAAAGCCAAAAGACAGATGGTCCCTCCCTTTTGCTCCTAAGTCAAATTAACTTGTCCTTTTCCATTATTTCCCTTCTAATGTTTATGTCGTGCATATAAGTTTATAAAGTAAATTTTTAACCAATTTAAAAATGTTAACATCCTCTTTGGTAGACAGTGGCAGCTTCTCGAATATGACTAGCAAGCAAACCCCATGTGACATACCTCTGAAGAGTTAAATGTGACTCTTCCATTCTTTTACAAAGTAGCTATATTCCAGCTGTTCCCAAGGCCCCACAGGAAGGGTTCCCTACAAGACAAGGTGATGAGCCTGTGCCTGGCGCTCTGTGGAGGCTCTCATTCCCAAAAACTGAACCTGGGCCTCTGCAAGAGCAAGAAGTGCTCTCAACCACTGAACCATAGCTCTAGCCCCCATGATTTTCTTTTTAAGTCACATGGCTTTATATTTTAACCAGAAACAGGACTATGTTTAACCCGTTTTAAACCCTCCGAAACAAGTGATAATACTCCGTGTCTTACAGCTAATAATATCCAGAGTGAGAGAGCATGGTAATGTTACAGAGTACACTGCCAGGACTCAGGCAGGGCAGGAGCCCTGGCTTTGACAGGAATAGGCAATATTACCTTGGATCTGGAACGCTCCTCCCAGGAACTCTGGTTCCCCAGTTTTGGGCACATCTGCTTACTTTCTCTGTAGTTCCTTTCCATGTGAGGTCCCTTGTAGGTGAGATTCCCCTGCCCTATAGCTCACTACCAGCTCTCCCCTCTGCCTAAGAGACATGTTCTTAACAGAACTGGGTCAAACTATTTTGCCGCCATCTTTACTCAGCTGATGTGAAATGAGGCCTAGAAACAGGCCTGAATATGGGGCACACTATCTAAAGAGCCCAACCTCAGCCTTAAAGGTAAGTGGACAGCCCTTTCGAGACTGAGTTACATTGAAGGCCTTTCTATATATGCTGGGCAAGATTATTGTTGGAATTCTTACTTTTCAAGGCCTTTTAATAGATGGCCTTGGATATCTATTTTGAGAAAGCCAATGTACAAATTTTAGTCTTTTATCTGTTATTAATTGGGCTTGGTGAACGGGGAAGTTATATAGAGTTATTACACTTAGAGGAGGTACTACTGAGAGAAAGGTCACTTGGTGGAAGAAGCTGACCTAAAAACATTATCCGCTCCCCACCCCTCTGCACCCACATGGCTATGGCAGCTGCTGTCCACTCCTGGGTGCTCTACCCAAATGTTACTGCCTCGAGTTTTTCTATACTCCATAATGAGCTTCACCTCAGGAAGCCTTTCTACCATCGTTTTCCACTTCAGTCATAAGGTCAGGCCCCTGCTCTTTGACTGGCCATTTCTCTATCTGGAGGCACAACCACCATCCTAATGCTACATCTTACACAGGCATTGCCTTGTGGCAGCTTTTGGGATGGCTTCGAGTCCTGGTACTCACCTGTCTATTCCCAGCTGAATCAGTAGTTTTTCACTTTCTACAGAGGCAGCCTGCTGATTCCCTGTCCCCATCACTACCCCCAGACTTCACTGAATTAAGGCTTCAACAACAGTTTTAGCAAAGCATTTATTATGCAAAATGGTGAGGCTTTATTTAGCAAGCCAGTATAAATTAAAACCCCCGGAGATGGTCACAGCCACTCTAATTGTACTGTGAGGTTGTAACCCTCTGAACTGCATTTGCCCCTGCTGTGTGAGCACTGCAGACATGGGTGGTCTTGGTCTTCTTGTCACTCTAGAAGGGATGAACCAAGTTCCTGGAAGAAGGCAGGACTTGCTTTGTTTTCTTTCACCCCCTTGCTTAGTTCATTGTTTGTAATGACATATCCTGTTTTCTTGTTTGTGCTGATTTGTTCACAAATCATTTGCATTCTCAGTGTGTTCTCCATGAAGGTAAGGCATCTTCATCTTCCCATTCCTGGAGTGCCTGGCAAGATGGTTTGGAGATGTCGAACAGGTGCTTGATGGAAGGAGGCCCCTTGTAGCTGTGCCAGGGATCTTCCAAGCATGTTTCTTGCCTTCTTTTAGCCACTTCTGGCGACATATGCCTGGGCTCCCTCCTATCTGCCTCTCTGCCTTTCACGGTGTATCCTAATTATAGGTTATTTTGATGCTGGGAAGGATGACAACAAAAGCCAAATTTACATCGGGAGCAAAGCCAGTCAATGCCAATGGAACAATACAAACAGACCCAGGCCTTCTCTAGAGATTTTACAAAGCAAACTGAACTCAGCTGTGAAAGGAAGCATGTTAGTGCCCCCACCCCTGACCTCCTAGCTAGGGCTTGGCTCTGCTGTGAGAAGGGTCTAGCATAAGACCAGTGAACTGGGCTGGGGTATGAGACTGAGGGGAGCTCTCCCTTTAGAGATCCCGGGGGTGACATTCTGTATATGGTGCTTTGGAACTGGAGAAGACAAATGTAACGACTGGAAGCATCCTCTTCATAAAATGGTGGCTACAAAATTAATGAACTGAGTTGTAAATGCTTCCTCCTGTCCTTCACAATCAACATCAGCTGGTCAGGCCTGTGAGCGGGAAATCCCCTGGCTGCTAGCGAGAGGGCAGGGTCTGCATATGAAGGGCGTCATAGGTGTCCTTGGTGGCAGTGCTGAGCCCCTGGCAAAAGCAAACCACAAAAGAATGAACCGGAGTCCACAGGCACAAGTTTACTGTCTGTAGCTCATCCATGGATCCCACCGCCTTTGACAGCTTAAGATCACCTCACATCATCACAGGTGGGGAGTCTTGCCAGAGAATGCAGATGGGTTGTTCCTCCTGCTGCAAACGACTACAAAGCAACACCTTTCCAGCTTGATTCTCACCCCTTCCTCAACTTCTCAAACAGCCCTGCAGCACCAGGGCCCATCAGACTCTCTATCCAACCAAATAGGAAGGTAGACTGAGCTACAACCTGGGAGGTGCCAGAGAATCAGCTACCTGGGCACACACAGTCTGGACTAGTCACAGGGAAGGTGGCAGTCCCCTGGCCACCATTCTTATGCCTGAGTTTCCAATCTCTAGCTACTGTGGTATGTATACTCTTTAGACAGGCAGACAGGGCTGGCCCCAGTCTCACTGGAAAGCCTCTCTCTGTTCCAGGTCTTGGAAAAGGCCCTGGGACTTCTGCAGCTGTCAGTAAACAACTTAGCTTTGGCTCAGGCAAGCCCAGCAACAAAAAAAATGAAGCCACCAGGGATCCCTTTTTAGAAAAGTGGGTTCTCTGTGCATAGTTTGCATAATTTGCATTAATTTACATAAACCAGGCACCTGATTACAATAACATTTCCCATTTGAAGCTGCTTTCTCTCCACCACCACCCCCAAATCTTTGTGGCTACTCTTAGATCTTCCTAAGTCTTGGGGTTTAGGGTAGAGGTAAGCTAACAGTGGATGAAAAAAACAATCCTCTGGGGAGGGTCCTTTACCTATTTCTGCCTGCACCTCTGGGGGCTCCCATCCCATCCTTTAGATAACTGCTATTGTCTACTATAGCCAGATGGCATGGATCTCCCACCGCCCTCTGGCTAAAGCCAAGTGTCTGCCTCCACAACTGAGTCCTAACCTTGGTGTAAAGACATAATGGTGTGGAGTGGCCTCCGGTCTGCTTGTGCCCTGGGTTTGCTCTCCCTGGCTGCTGACAAAGGCTGGTGCCACCAACAAGCAAACCATGCTTTACCCCATGTCAGATAGTACTGCCCAGGAAGGGGACAGCAACTCTTACCTGGTAAAGGCCATCGTGCCCCTTGCCTCTCCGCCTCTGGAAACAAGATTAGAAAGGAAGGGAATCAGTAGCTCCCTTGCTTAACTGCCCCCACTCAAGGAATCAGAAAGGACTGTTTCCCAGCCAGCATTTCACTCCCCTGCCTTCCCCCCAACACACCACAGTACAGAAGGCCACTGGCCCGACCTTTGCTTCTTAGATGACACTTGACTCAGATAGGGGCCAAGTTCACTCTGCCCAACTCAGATCTCTGTAATCTGGGACATTTTGCTGACTGCTTAGAGTAGATGGACCTCTGCACAGCTCCCAAATCCTTTGCCATCAAAAAGGCACACTGAGAATGGCAACTAGATAATGGTTCTGAGCACTGATACTGAGTTACCGCACTTCTTCCTCCCAAGGGAACTGACATCCTCCCCATGGAAGGCCCTGACCACACATGCTGGCCGGCTGGCCGCATGGGACCCCCTACTCAGAAGAACTCAATGCTCTGCCCTTGATATTTTGAAATTCTTATGAAACCACCAATGAACAAGGAGCCATACACCTTCATTCTCCCCTGGGACCCAGTGTCACAGTGCTATGAACAATGAGATGACTTGAAAAGGTGCAATCTGCTTCTGGCAAAGCTTAGCCACAGACTCTAGGTTTGCCTTTCAGCCCATCTCTAGTCTCACAAATTGTCCAGTGGCACCTTCACTAAGGGCAGCCATCACATGTACATCTCTCAGTTGGGGGAAGAATGGAAGGAACGACAAGGCTGGCAGGAATGTCTCCAAGACCAGAAGGAACCCACCTTGGTGTCAAGGAAGAGCAGCACTCACCTCGCCTTTCATCCCGATCTCACTGTAGGACTCCGCCATCTTGTCCTTCTGCAGTGCCTGAAGGAAAAGAGGCAATGTGGTTTTCCTAACTGATACAGAGTGGCCCTTACCCCAGGAGCCTCTGGATTCCCAAGCTGGCAGGCTCCAGGAATCAAGACTCCAAGCCATGTAGTTACAAACATTGCCGCCCACAACCAAGTCTCCTGAGCCCCTCAGCCTAACTTGAGAATCTCCAATCTACCCACTTTACACATTGAACAGGTCAGGTTAGATGCAGGAGACTTAGACCAGTAAAATCCCGCAGGGAGACTGGATGACGGAAAGGGCTCAAAGGGAGCAAAGCATTGTTCCTTTGGACAAGTCATCTCTTCACAGCCCAGTACATACAGTACATACACAGTTCAGGCTGTGTATGAGCCACTTGCTGTGTCACCACCAGTGGTGAGGGCTGCACCTTGGTGGCCTGATACTATAGTTTCACACCACAGTGGTGGCGTGAACTTCACAATGAGAGAAAGCCCGTGAGCAGCGTCCTCTCAGATAAGCCAGCTCTACCCTCCTGCCCAGCATAGCCTGCAGCTCCCACCCTGTTCCCCAACCACTGGCTCAGAGTCCTGGAACAACAGCAAAAAGGCAAAGGAGATGAGGTGCTCTACACCGCTCAGCTTAAAGGGATGCTCTAAAGCCACCAGCCGGTGACACGTGACTGATGAGACAGAAAGACAGAGCAGCCCCTCCCTCTTGCAGCCCTCTCCCAGCTCCCTAGGGTGAAGGGTGAATGCTCACACACTTACATTGTATACGCCTTCCTGGGGGTTCCTCCTCCTCTGCTGAGGAACAGAAAACGGCAGAGATTAGATAGAGGGGATCCAGGCTGGAAAGTGTAATCAACCCCATGCTGCCTGACCCTGTGGCTCAGCTGTCAGTCTCCTCCACATTCCCCAGCCTTACTCACCAGCAGCAACCAATGCCACAGCTCATACTTGGTGATGCATAGCTGCAACACACACTTCACATTCCCACCTGGGCAGGCCCTGGGGGTGGCTGCTGATGGGCTTTCAGCCCCCTACAGATGTACTCCTACATGCTAGGTCACCTCCTTGGGGCAGAGCCAGCCAGTCACATCCTGCTGAGATGTGGCCACAGAAAACTGGGGCACCCTCCTTGCCCTTCCCCCCACAACCACAAGCTGAGGTCGGAGGATGGAATAGGGGTTAGGGACTTTAATGTTTTCCATGCCCTCCAGTAATGCACACTCAGCACAGAACTCAAAGAGGACTCGGGGCTGAGTGAACAGGTATGGCCAAAAACATTAAGGACATTGGGTAGCATTGAATAGTACTGACCTTAAACTGGACTTTTGTCCTGAGCGCTGCTATTGGTTCTAGTCCAATAGAGTCATCCAGCCCTTCCCCTCCCTACAGGAATGGAGTCTATAAAGTCAAGAAGGCACGGACACCTAGAGCCTGATGGCCATGTTCTAAAGGGGTATTCAGAATCCAGGATTCCTTCTCCATGGCCTTAGCCCCTTCCTGTGTGTATCTTAGCATCAGGGCTGTCCTATGGAGGCAGGTGATACTACCATGTGTGCAATTGGGTTGGCTAAGGACCAGTTGTAAGGATTCAGGCATTAGGCTGGCCTGCCCCTGTCACCTGGCAGGTACCCTGGTCAGCCCAGGGTTCCATGAGTACTAGTCTGCAGGCAGGTGTAAAGGACCCCTTTAAAAGTCAGCCCCCTACCCACTTATGCTTTCTCTTTTGCAGTCAGCTCCTCTCTTTCTCTCCCTCCCCCCTCTCCTCTCTCTCCTGATCCTTCCCTCCTCTTCTGTTCCCAGTAACCCTATGTCTCTTCCCTTCCCCCTCGCTCCCCTTTCTAAATAGACTCCTCATTCAAGCTCTGTCTGCCTGGTGTGTTATTCCCTCTGCCTCGGTCACCCTCACCTGCTGTGGAACCTGCTATGCTCTCCCACGTGGTCCCTTACCTTGGGACCCCACTCATTGGGACCCCCCCCCTCCAGCTTTTATTCCTATAACTGTAGCAAAAGAACAACAGCAGTGAAGGAGAGGTAGGCAACTTAGATGTGAAGGCTAGGGTGACATACTCATGTACATGGCTTCTTATGATGCAAGATGGAGCCAAGAAGAAAAGGGGGGTGGTGGCAGCAGGTGGGTCTTTGTCACCCCCTTGTTCCAGGCTCTATCCACGTACACTGCTGGGATGAACTGACCTCCCTCCAAGTTCACTCACCCCACACGCAGAGGGGCTCCTTACCTGCTTGCCTCCCACCTCAGGGTCGCGAGCCCACTTCTTATCCAGAACGTCATACTCCTCTCTTCGCCCTAGACTGAGCTCCTAGGACAGGAGATGGGACCCTCAGGAGAACGGAGCCACTTCCGCTAAAACTGGAGTTGGGGTTCCTGCCTGGTGGCTCCACAAAAAGCAGCATGGGGAAGGCAAGGTGTTGGTGGGAAAGACACTTGCCTCAGACCCTGAGGATCTGAGTTCAACTCCCAGGACCCACATGGTGAAAGAAAAAAGAGAAGAACTCTGACCTAAATGTGTGCAACGTGTTTTACACACACACACACACACACACACACACACACACACACACACACAGCACAATAAAAAGCAAAAATAATTTTACATTTTATTCATGTTATGTGTATATGTGTGTGCCTGCTGTATGCCCGTGCACCACATGCCTGCAGAAGAAGTATCAGATCCCCTGGGAACTAAAGTTACAGGTGTTTGAGAACCACCTATGGGTGCTAGGGAAAATCTTGTACCCTGCATACTCTACCATAGCTGAAATGTAATTTTTGGAGGGAAAAAAAAAAAAAAAAAAGCATGGACAGAGGCATGTGAGGTGGTGGGAACCAATTTATCTTCATGCTAGCACCTCAGAAAATACCTGCCACAGGATGGTGCCTGGCAGGAACCCCAGGGCCCCCATGGGCTTTTCCTCCTGCTGATCTTGCTAATGGAGTTCACAAGAACATTTCCATTAGCAAGTGAAACCAAGGCTCCCAGAGGAAATCACACAGACCAAGGACCCACTGCATTTCTGTGTGTTCCTTCCCCTGTGCTGGTGCTGGCAGTTCACTAGAGGCTGGGCAGCACCACGCTCTTGGTCCTCACGGCAACACTGTGGGGCAAGCATGTTTGCTGCTCCAGTCTCAGGGTTAGAAAACTGAGGTTCCACCACTTGCCGCCAGTCACCAGACTGATAGCTGTGGACCAGACCGTAGCTGAGCCTAGCCTTGGAGCAGGTTTGCAGAGAGGGAACTTACATTGTAGAGCTGATTGGAGCCCTGCTGGTAGGCGGTAGCATCTGCACTCCCGCTGAACTGCAAGAGAGCAGAGAGAATTACAGCTCAGCACTATCTCCAAGATGGCCAGAGGGCTGGTGCAGTGCTGAGCTGGGTGACAGCCCCTCCTTGCCAGCAAACCACAAGTGCTTTGCTGCTGTGGCTAACCCTTGCAGGGGTCCAAGCTATGGTAGCTTCCTTTTGCTTCTGAACTCAGTTGTCCTTTCTCTTACCTGCCATGTGAGCATCTACAACTTTAGTCTTGAGAGAAGCTAATTATCCCATGTAAAGGCCTTGGCCCTTCCCCTGTGTGAAGAGAGCACTCAGTCTGTGCCTGCTGGAAGCCAGGAGCACTGTCCACTGTGCCCTCCTCCAGGGAGCACTCTCCTATGCTCCTACCTCCAGGGCACTCGGGGTAGACAGCAGCTACAAAAAGCTGCCTATTAAGTTGGCCCACTGGCATCATCAACGGCCCTTTCCTGAGTGCCTGTTTATTGTCAGGAGCACGTAACCCAAGCGGACATACACCTAAGCTGAGAGAGACGGAGGGGTTTATACAGAGTCAGAGCTCTGGAGGGAATCTTACAAACCAGCTAGGCGTCATTTCCAAGTAAATAAAATCTTCTGCCAGAAAGGAAATGGGTTATAGTCCCCTGAACATCTGTCTTCCCCAGATGTATCCTTTCCACAAAACCCATGGCTCCAGGCACCTGGTGCAGGTGAGTGCACTGTCTAGCATTCTCATCTGAAGAAGAAGCTGCAAATCTTCTACTTGACCCTAACAGAAGGCCTTCTGTTAGCCAGCAGATGCCATGGGACACCCTCACATCCAGGCATCAGTACAGATCCTCACCACGCACCTGCCATTAGGCTCACTGTCCTGCCCTCAGCCTATCACTGTGCACACTTTACTGTCCCCTACCTCACTCATGTACACACCAAGCATAGCCCAGGTCTGAGACTCTCCAGTGCCAAAGCCCCCGCCACACATCCTCCCCCTACAAGAGGAACCCACCTTTGCTCTCAGGTACAGGGCTGTGACGATGACTCCATAGATGAAGAGGATTCCATCTAGCAAGTAGCAGAGTTTGGGATCCAGCAGACCAAAACTCTGTGCCTCTGTGCCGAGAGAGAAAGCTATCAGCTGTGCCCAAGCTTACAAGAACACATTCCTCCTACTCCAAATGCGCTTTATGACAGATTGTAGTGAAGAAACTGTGACAAGGACACTAGGTCCAATCTTCACACAGACCACAGCCTGCAACCTCTCTCACATACCCAATCTGAAAAACCCAGCTGCAGTGGCCAACGTAGTACCAGGTCTGGCCACAAAGCCTGGCAGGAATGGGGCGGAGGTGACTAGGAGAAAGATGAAACTGTCCACTGTCCACAGGACTAATGCCTCGGTAATGTGGAAGCCCAGACCCTAGGGACTAAGAAAGGTGGGGCTCAGAGATTTAGTGATTGAGTTAAATCATCTCAGTACCTATTCATTGTCAGTAAAGCCTTAGGTGTACTAGCACACATTGGTAAAACAGGCACTGAAGAGGCAAGAGGATTGTGAGTTCGAGGCCAGCCTGGCTTAATAAGGTTCAGGCAGCCTATACTTTTCAGATCTGAGCCACTTCTGTTTACTTATCCATAGATAAGAGGATTAAGGGGTAAGAGAAAGGAAAGACATTAAATAGATACTAGCATTCCTATTTGAAAAAAATCATACAGTATAAGCAAGCAAAGTATGTTATTGATCTTGACTAAGCTCTTACTAGGTAAATGTGTAGTAGCCAGACCAGAGAACACGCCCAGTGTCACAAAACCCTCACTCTGGTCCTGCCTACAAATCACACAAGCAGAGGGCTCAATGGCTTTCCAAGCATGTCTCCTGGGGGTGCAAGAGCACCTCCTGGTGGCTGCTGACAGTGGGTAAGGTGAACCGGTGCTGTCAGAAGCCTGGCTGTGTAATTTGGGGCAAAGTGTCATTTCAGCTGCCCTGTGAAACAGGTTAAAAGTCTTCAGTGTTTGTTCTGTGTAGTGTTTACAGCTTTGAGTGCAATCATTAAAGCCCCATTGAATTGCTGCCAGAAACACACTGAGACTGCCCGCACATGCCATGGAAGCTGGAGACAACTCTCATTCACTCTCCCACAACTCCTGCTCAGCAACCATTGATGACCCGGACACTTCAAAGAAGGCTGGAATTCTGTGCAGCCCCAGGAAGGCTCTGCCTTTCCAGACCAAACTGGAAAGAACTCGCTACCACCCTGCCCCTTCTCCAATTGTCCTATGTATTCCAGGCTGACCTCCCTCCGCATCTGGAATGCTGGGATTTACAGGTGTGCACCACCATGTCTGGTGGTTCTGGAGATCAAACCCAGGACTGCATACGTGGTGGGGGAACACTACCTACTGAGCCACACCCCAGTCCTTCCTCCTGTCCTTTCTGCCCCACACTCCCTTCAACTCACAGGTGCTTTCTCATTCACCCCATGCCCACCTTGGCTTCACTGGCCCCTCCTCTAGGCCCCCACTGCTAGCTCTGCCAGACACCTGGAGAAATCAGGTCCATGTGATGCCATCTGGGTCCCCCAGTGGGAATGAATGAACGGTAGCAGTTGCAGAGTCGATATGCCTGTATAGTTCTCTGGAAGTTCAGACTTCCCTTCTCAGGCTGAAAGCACAGGAGACCAATGGCTTCTTCGTTTTCAGTTTGCTTCCTGTCCTACTTCCAACACCATGCCCAAGACAGACATTCATCAAATTTCCTACACTTGAGAGGAGGGTGTGTTTCAGTGATGGGGAGATGCCAGGCCCCAGCCCCAGGCTGCTCTTTGCACTAATAATTACTCAGGAGCCCCTGAGAAGCAAGCCAGCCCCCAGTAAAGGCTACCAAAGCTGGAGTGACATTTTCTTTTAGGGCTGGAAAGATGTCAGTGGCGATTTACAGGGTGGTTGGAATTCATAGAGAGAGCCGGGAGAAAATCGCTCAGCTGCCTGCCATGTGAAATGAGAACAGAAAAAAATACTGGATAGTAAATTTAGAACAAATAAGAAGAAATATCTCTTTGTGTTGTGCAGAGTCAGCACAGTAGGGGGCGGGCAGGGACTTGAGCACCCTCCCACCCCCAAGGATGAGTGATAGGGACAGGACGTCCTAGTCTTTTTAAAGAGCAGCATAGTTTTGTGGCCAGCAACAAAAGTGCTCCATGTGGAGCTGGCCAGAAAAGGACGTGAACCCAACCTTTTAGGGGCTGCCCCTTTCCTCAGTCCTATAGAATGTGCACTGAGAGGGGTGAGCCTCAAGATTATGGTGATAGCCCAGAAAATCCCATATGAGAACCAGGGACCCATGTCAGTCACATGATTAGCTATTTGTTGGGCATTGGCTCTGTGCCAAGGGCTGCAGAGCTAGAAAGAGGCCGGGTGGGGGCCAGGTGACTTCCACTGTCTCGCCTGCCGCTTACTAGCTGTGTGATCCTAGAAAGTAATCCCACTTCTCTAGGCCTAAGGACCTCTGTCCATCAAGCGGGGTGGGGGCACTTGTATTTACTTTACGGGCCATGGTAAGGGTGCTTCAGCAGGTGAAAATGGCAGGTTTCCTATTTCCTCTGTAAGGGCAAGATGTCTGATATTTGTGTATTCACCCCAGCCGCAGTTCTTCACGATGCCACTTGTCATGGTGATTGTATCATCTCTGTCCCCCTCACACAAGAGCCGCTACCATACCCTGTTCACATCTCTGCTACATCCCACGCCAGGCACAGCACTCAGATGTTTCCCAGGAGGTGTTCGGGGGCTGTCCCACTGCAACTGTTTTCCTGTACAATGGGAGAGCCATTTTATCTTATGCTCCCATCCATACTCCAGATCCATGGCCCCCAGGAAAATCCCACTGCCCAAGAGAAAACCCAGAATCTGATTAAGGGCTCTACAACCCAAACCTATGAACCTGCCTGTTTGTTAGAAGGGCTCCCTAGGCTCCCTGTGGAGGTTGACTTAGCCAGCCTGAGCAAGGGCCTGGTAGGAAGACTTCAGCACTAGCTGGGAGACCCAGCATCCCATGGAGCTGCTATAGCCCAGAGCATGAAGAGGGACGTCTGGCCTTCCACAGTTATGCAGCCATACCATCTACACAGAGGAAATGTCACCATTGGAGAGGAAAGCCACGTTCACACTCCATCCCTCTGCTCTAAGGCCATGGCTACATGCTCCTGGTTCCAAGCATCTCAAGCCTCTGTTTCCTCTCTGTAATCGAGTAAGATTACTTATCCCCTTGTTGATGGAGGATTAGAGGTAGCTATACTTACCAGGTGAAGGACCTCATTTGTTCCTCATAATGCCAGCTAGTATGCTCACTTCTATTTTTACTTTAAGCCCATGAGTAAAAAGCTGGTGCCTTTGCCTTGTGGCAGGACACCTGGAATAGACCATTGAGACACTCAGTGGAGGCCTCCAGCGCAGCTAGAGACAGCTCCAGGAGTATTTGTCAGAGTATCTATCGGCTCAGATACTAATGTCCTGGATCATTAGCAAGAGTGAGTCTAGCCATCCCTGAACACCCCGTTGTCACCCTCACAAGAGCCCTGGTTCAGGTGTCATGACACTGAGCAATAGTGGGAAGATTTTAAGCCCCAGAGGGCAGCCTGGGGGGACACGAGTCTAGCATGGTGATGTAAGTGTCTCTCAGCTGGGATCATGCTCCCGAAAACAGGGATTAGGTTTTAATAAGCCCGGTCCTGTCTTGGCTGCTAACACACCCGGCCGTGTTCTCATACCAAGCTCTTCTTGTAGCAAATCCGGTTGAGGAGCTAGGTATCTGCTCAACTACCTCAAACCATTTGACCACAGCTTCTGCAGTCAAAATGACTTCCCGTGTCTGATCGAATTTGACTCTACGAAGAGTCCAGAAGGCAGGTAGAAAACTCTTATGGGGCCCAGTTCACTGGCTTGATAAACTGAGACCAGAAGGTTGAAGCAATTTCCTCAGGAACATGTGCCAATTAGTGGCAACACTGGAGTGCCCCCTGACTCCAGACACTTCGTTAGTGCAGACTCCAGAAGTCCCACCCACTCGTGAATGCATAGTCCTTCCTTGGACACTTAGTCACAGTGGTGCATGACCGTGTCACTTGGCACATGTCTCTTCATTGAGTGCTGGAAAACCAGGCTGGTGAATTCACACTGGTTTTCCTCACCTGGTGCACCACTAGCCAGGGGATGTGAGGAAGCAGAAGGACTCTCAGAGTCCAGGTCGGAGTCTATTCCTCATCAGCTTAGTGTTTGAGAGTCTTCTTAACTCCGAGCTTCAGTCCCTACCTGCAAAAATGATTTAATAATACTGACACCACCGCACAGAGCAGAGCAAATGAGGCCAAGTATATGGGGAGGGCCCCTGCACAGTGGCGTGTGCCCATCCTGCAGTCTCCCTCCGTGTCCTTGTCACACAGAGGCTGTGACGGTACAAACAGCAGAAAGAGTAGAGGCTGGGTCCTTTCCTCTCCTCTTTGCTAGGTTTGGGGACAGAAAGCCAGCTTTCTGGACCATGTGAGGATAAAGCCAGATCACCGTTATATGGGGAGGACCTGACCCACTCTGTGTGGGGGCTTTCTGAGGACTCCTGGCTTCACCGATCCCGGTGAGACCCACATCTGTGCTGCTCTGCAAACCATTTAGGAAACCCATTCTCCTTTCATGGTCTGGTTTAATGCCCAGAGAGATTTAGTACAATCCCGCCAGGCTCACTGCCAGTTGTGCTTTTTCGCAGAAAAGAAGCAGGGCTCCCAAAGGTCACCCAAGTGGAAAGTCCCTGAGTGCACCTGGAGCAAGCTCCTTCTCGCCCCACTTTGTCCTAGTATCTCAGGGACTGGCTCCAGACCCTCCCAGGGATGTCTCTGGGCAGGGCCTCTGGCCTCTGCTTGAATACATGGTGGCGAGGGGGGTGGGGGAGGGAAGAAACTCCTCACCCACCGACTCTGTGGAGAGCTCCGAGTCTCAGTCTTTCAATTCCCACTCCTGTCCAGAAGTACTTCAGTATTTCGGGTAAGGACGAATACTTGGAGGGCAGCCAACGTGAGGCCAAGGCCTGGTTCTGCTATCATGTGACCATGAAACCATCCTAGGTC